ATGTTTGACCAACATAACAGCAATTGCAATTTGCATATGGTGTGTAAACAATGACATTATTTTTATCGAGTGGCTCGGTTACATCTTTTTCAAGTGAAAAGATCGAATTAAATTTATCGTTTAAACTGTCTACAATACCAATGTGAAGCTTCATACAAAAATATTTAATAGGACCGTGCAAGTAGGGTATATACGTTAATGATAAGATAAGTTTATTATTATTACTGTTTATATTGCAATTGTCAATCATAATCATGTTTTTGAGGTATTTATTCGTTTGTGTAAAAATTTATCAATAAACTTTTGAGAATAGTTGTGAGCTGGTAAAAATTTGTTGATCAACTTAAAGTTATCGTTATGAAATTAAGTATCGGCTAATTTAATGGAAAAGTCTACAAAAGTGTAAATACTACATATTTTATGTTGTATTAAATGGGAGGAGAGAAAATTCAAGTATCAGCCTGAATTTGTAAGTTTTTGGTACTTATTTGTTAGTACTGTGCTATTTTGTTTGATGGTAAATCTTAAACCTGAGAAATTAATGCTGTTGTTGTTGCATGTTTCACCAGTGAATTCCAATTTCAGAAAAATCTATCAAAAATGTTTCTAGTATAGTTAATATATTTAGTAGGCAAACAAATAAAAATATCATCCACATAACACACATACAGTGAAACATGAAAACATAACTTCTTTAAGAATGAAATGTCAAGCAAACGCATTACAAGATCACACAGCACTCGAATACTGGGACTGCCCATTAAAGAGCCAAAAACTTTTTAATGAAATTTGTTGTTGAAATAGAAAATAGTTGAATTCACAATTAAAGATACACCTGTGCAAAATTCATTAGGAGAAACATTGATTTTACTATTCAAGAATTTTCAAAAATGTTTTATTGCATTTATGATTAAGGCTTTTCCAGTATTAGTAAATAAACTTACCTTATCTAGACTGATAAGAGTGTAACCAGGTAAAATGATAATGTCATTCAATTTATTTTTTAACTCATAACGATTTTTCGAAGTGTGATTTCGTCAGCGAAATATTTTTAATCAAAAAATCAAAAAGAAATTTCAAAAAACTATAAGCCGGTGAATTTAGTGTCAAGACAATGGTACGGAAAGAAAAGTCTTTTTTGTGAATTTTTTTTTAGTCCGTAGCATTTAGATAAGTTTCTTCTTATGAATATCTTCATCAAACTTATTTCATTCATCAAAAATACCGTATTGATCCTACTTGCTTACAAAATTTTTTGTATCTTTAATTAATTGCTTTTAAGGGTTATTTTCTAGCTGTAAATAATATTTATCACCACCTAATGATTCTTCTACTATATTAATGTAAGCTTCTACGTCAATGACAATAGTGATTTAACATTTTCCTGCTTGAGTGATATAAAATGTGTTCATTATTTTTAAGAAAGACTCGTGTGCGATTTTAATTGTCTTGGAAAATTCTATGATTTAAAAAAAGACGAGTAGATACGTTATGTCTATTGTTACTAACAATGTTAAGTAGTTCTTTTGTAACAGTCTCACATTGTCCGAAATATTTTAATAAATTTTTAATATGCTTTAAAAGATAAAAATAATCACTTTTATTAACGTTAGAAGCAAAATTTATATTTATCGCCCAACTCTAATATGCTTGCTACACAATCCAGTAGTGGTATGTTAGAAAGGTTACACAGCTAGATTTTTTTTATTTAACTTATGCCTTTATTGTTGATTAATGCAGGGCACGGAACCGGGCTAGGGTCACTGTCACTTGTAGCTGGGAGTGTATTGTATACTCTTTCGTGATCGGATTCTTCATGTGAAGAAAGGGCATCGAACTTTTGATCTAACTTATGACGATATTCGCGAAAAATTCTATTCAATTTTAGTTCGTTATAATTAAGAAATAAATTTATTGTATAAAATTCACAACCATAACTTAATGTTTTCGTCTCAATTAATTCAATTTTATTTACAAAAAAGTTAGTTTTTGCGTACTAGTCCAAAATTTTATTATTTAAAACTAATTTATGTAATTCAAGTATGGCTAATTTTTGTTTTATATTCAATAGGAAACTAAAAAAAGTCACATGATTTAGTTTTTTAAAACATTGTGTGATATGTCTTGGAATAACGTTATAAGTTCCACATTTAACTAAAAATTTGAGCTCCAATTCAGCGCTCCTAAATTCCTTCTGAACACAACTAAGCTTATAAACCTAAAACTTACATGTCTACTAAAGCATGCACGTATGGAGTCAAGCACCCTTTAGAGTGGTTTTAATTTCCTACTGGTAATAATGCTTAGTAGTTGTTGCAATCTGGTATTCTCCATAGCAGTGCAGGTCTATCTTTAAGTTTTTATTCAACTTTTTCCATTTTAACAACAAATTTTACAAACAAGCTTTTGGCTTCCTAATATGGTCCTATTAAATATTTTTGTAAAAAGCTTTACATTGGGCTTGTATACAGTTTAAACGATAAGTTGAATTCGATGTCTTTACTTGAAAAAGATGTAATCGAGCCACTCGATAAAAGTAATGTCATTGACTACATACCATGTGCGAATTGCAACTGCTGTCGGTCAAACACTAGGAGCTGTAAATAAGGAATGGCAAAATATAAAAGAGACATGGACAAAGAAAAGATAAATCAGTACTANTACTTGTATAACCATAGCCCTAGTATGCATATCCACGAGCACGTTTATATATATGTATAATATAATTATAAAATTTTTGTTTTCAATTTTAATATAGTTGCTTATCAGACAAGTTGTTGCTGATAATAATTGTGAAAATATCTTTTCTGGAAAGGTAACTTAAAGTGAAATGGCCTTAAAAAGAACCGATAAGACTGATGGCTGATGAGGAAACGTAAGAAATCAGGATGGCCTTAAAAAAGGACATTAGTGACACTTCCAGTCATCTCTTATTGTTATTTGCGATATTGGAAAGCCAGCTGCGGGTGAGTTAACTCTTATCTTTAAAGTCTTAGTGTACTGAGACCATGTTTTAGGAAAATATGCTACTGGTTTAACAGTATCTCGCAATCGGGTCGTTCCCCAAATAACTAACTTTTTACTGTCACTCAGAAAAGCGAGTCTAGAGAATACTTGTACTTTCGTACTGCCTAGTGCATGTTCCTAAACTAAAGAACAAGCTAGTGTATTTCGGCAAAACTTTAGGCTTGTTTAATGCTTTTATTCTAAAATATTCTGAAGATAAAAACTGTACAAAAACCATCTTCAACGTGTTAGAAATGAGTATGCAAAACTTTATTAAAATTGATTTAGTAGTTCTTGTTTTTGGTAATGAAAATGGATTTAAGAACTTTTTTTTTAAATTCTAGCAAGGCACTATCTCTTACTGTTCTGAGGTTTTTGATTTTGTTGCTGTTACAACGCTTGTTTTCAAGTCAAGACTCATACAAAATAATGAAAAAATTTCTTCCAATCTGAAAGAAAGCAAAACTTAGAATACTTACTTCAAAGTACGGTATTCCTTACAAATTAAATATTCTTCTTTATTTTGTAAGCTTTAGGAACCGTCCATTATATACACCTTTTTCTGTTGTGATAAAAGTATAAAAATCTATACCTTAATGTTATTGTTCTGATAATTACAAATATCTTTTTGTAGAAGGTATCTTAAAAATTTTTGCTAGAAAATATTTCCTTTTATCTCATTTAATTTGCGATTAAATTATGAATATTCAAAGAAAAATTTTGAAGGAAACTGTTCATTTAATGGCGACAAGTTAGGCAAAATAACTTTCTAAAGTCTTTCCTCTAAGGACTTTATTCCCATTATAATAAATTTAGCTTTAACGTTTTAACTTTAAGATAATTTTCTTGTATGAACTCTTTACTCATTTTTATGTGCATACAAGCCTACCATTTTTTTTTCTAATCAGCAAGAAGATGATAAAATAACATTTTACTTAATTTATACTGTAGTATAGGTAAACAAAGATCTGAAAGTTTCATCGGTGTTTCTGAAATTATGTGCACTGATTTTCGTAAACGGTTTTAATAACAAAAGGTAGAGCCTCATTGAGGTCAACATGGTTGACGTAAGAGATTGTATGAGCATAAAAAGTTGTTCTTACTTAACTGAAATATTCAATGTCAGTAAGCTATATTACACTGCTTTCTTTTAAAGCAAATCTTGCTTGAATAGTACTCTGCTTTTTCTGCCTACATACTTTTTTTTATTGCCTATTGTTTGAGAACTAAAATTCTCTGTACACCACACTGAGCTTCAAAATATTTTTTTTTTGAAGATTATTGCTCTAGCTCTAATAAACTACCGTCATGCACTTTAATAATTATATTGTTAAAAATATTTCTATGTTAATACGTTGTCTTTTATAGAAGTAAGTAACTCCAGACAAAGGTACCTAACAACTAACTGACTTCTAATTTTGTAAGTAATGCTTGCATTACATATTATTTTGAAGTTAGTAAAAACGTATTACTTACTTTTTAGCTTACTCTTCCACGGATTTTATAAGCTAGTATTATTGAAGATAACAATCATACATTACCAATCAAAAAAATATTCGACAATATTTTGCATGTTGGAATCACTTCTTAAGCTGCCTACTATTTTATGAAATTCTTAAGTATTATGTCTTTTGCTTCAAGTCTATAGAAAAAAAAATAAATTACAGCGACAAATAACTCTCATTATAACTGTCCATGAGTCTACTAAGCCATGCTGTCTTTGTCTAAACAATTAAATATAGTTAATATTTCTCACACCTTTACTAAATAAAATACATGTTGTGTGACAGAAAGTCATAATTTTTTTAATAAAAAATTTTTTTTTTCCTAAGCTAATGAGCTAATTGAAAAAATAATTTTCTATCATCAGAAACGATGAACATTAGTTAAATTTTATATTGAAGACAATGACAGATGCCTACAAAGACAAAATCATTTTACACTAAAGAAGGTTTTAAGCCGTGATAGTCAACAAAAAAATTAGGTTAACTTACCATTACGTTGTATGTAGTCAAATCTACTAACTTTTTTCTTAGCAAAAGGAAAATTGCGACTATGTAAATACTTTTTTTCTTTGACATCTGGATCTAAATTCTGAAAAAAAGTTAATTTTTACGGTTAATATTTCTAGTTCTACTAAATAAAATTTAAAAAATGCAGCCATAGCAGTGCAGGTC